TCCCACTCACAGTGTCCGAGGTTGGATGATGCCATCGAAGAATTGGAAATGGAGCTTTCGGGGGAAGAGGGCGAGTCCTGAGACCGCTGCAGTGCGTGCGCGGGAAGGACACATATGCATGATATCAAAAAGAGTCCGAGAGCGTGTATTTTAGAAGAGCACGTGCAGATAAGGTGCTGTTAGCGGTGTAATGCGCATGCTGGTATGGTGTGGCCCAAGAAGTGAAGACAATAATAGTCACGGAAGTCAACCCCCGAGGATGAAGGCGCGATTTGTGCTGGCTCCTGGCAATATAGCACGCCAGCATCACTCGAACCCAGGAGTTTAAAGGCTGCGAGAAGTCGTGCGTCGGGCGCTTGGTGAAAAAGAAAAACATTTTGCGGGCATCTTGTACGGAAGGTAGAATCGCACTGACCTGCAGCCGTGCCATGTCAGGGCATCTGCAAAGACGGAGTTTCCGTGGGAAGAGCTGCATCACAGCCCGGCGCTGTTGCACGTGCTGCGAAGGCTCAGCTCAGTCTTGTCGCATCTTCCAATCTCGCAATGCGGTGTTAGGCCAGGATTTTGGTTTGCCGACTTCTGGAGAAAGGTGTCAAATTGAATGATGCGACTGCCGAGGCAGGAACAGCAGATGCCGCGTATCGGTTCTCGCGCAATGATATTGCAGTGATCGCACATTGAGGTCCTGCGCCACAATCCTGAACTGGCTGGGTGCAGTGAGGTCTCACGTGTCTTATATCGGCTGGAGCCTCCGTAGGCGAGCCCGAAACAAGTGGTCACTGTGTGGCTTCCATCATTGCAAAAGGCGAGAGCGTGCATATTCACATGCCATGACGCACGAACGACTGCATCTCTCGTTGCCCGCTTGTGCAGGGACTGCTCACAACTGCTTGCAGCAGCCATAGCTCTACAGCTCAAGCAAATCTTTCCTAGTCGTAGTGCTACTCCGTGACACTGATGGTCCGAGCAGCGCCGGGTCGTGCACCCCCACTGCGACGCAGACTCGTGCTGCGACGCCCTGCCGCCCGATCGAACCCACGGTCCGGAAC